TGACTCTAATCCACCCATTAATTTGCATCCCTTCAAAGATAGGTTGTTGAGACCTGGGCGTGCTTGTAAGGAGTAGTGTAAATAACTATGTAAGTGTTAGCCAGTATAACAATTACAATTATTATTGATATCGTTTGAACTCTTTGCCAACACAAATCCCATTTTGCAGTAAGGCTGGTGTCATAGAGCACAAAAGGACCTTTCATGTGAGAAGATGAAGCCCAGGATGGGAAGTTACTTGTCCAAGATCCCAAAGGTGTTAGACGTCAGAAGTGGGGCGCTCTGATTCTGGGGCCACTGTTTCCATTCCATCCCATCCTCTCCATCGAATTGCCCCCTCTGGCCTCCCTACTCTTTCACTTGACTCCTTGTCTACAAACATGCCCATGGCTCCCCCACTCTCAAGAAGCTCCATCTGAGCTGTCCATTTTGCTGTGGTCCTGAATCAATCCACCTTTTCTGGGCTAAACTGCTCCAGAAGGCTGTCTATGGCCGGTGCTTGGGCCTCCTTTCCTCCCACTCTCTGCTTAACTACTGCAGTCTGGCTTAGGACCTCATCATCGAACTGAAACTGCCCTTCCCAAAGTTACTAATGAGCTCTTGATGACCTTTTCTCAGTTCCCATTCTTTTTGACCTCTTGGCCTTGGCCACCATCAATCACCCTCCAGGCTTTTGGGAGGCTGCTTTTTCCTGGTTATCTTCTTCCTGGTCTGACCACTCCTTCTCAGGCTCCGTAATGGATCTTTGGACTGTGGGTGTCCTTCAAGGCTCTGTCCTGGGCTCTCTTCTCCTCTCCCTCTATACTATTTCTCTTGGTGGTCCCATCAGCTCTCATGGATTCCATTATCATCTCCATGCTGATTATTCTCAGATCTACTTATCCAGCCCTCACCTTTCTCCTGACTTCCAGGTTTGCATCTCCAACTGCCTACTGGCCATCTTGAGCTGAACGTCCTGTAGACACCTTAAACTCAACGTGTCCAATGTTGAATTGATGATCGTTGCCCCCCAAACCCTATTATCTTCCTAACCTTCCTCTTACTGTTCAGGGTCCCGTCCTTCTCCCAATCACTTGGGCTCACGACCTGGGCATCGTCTTTGACTTCCCCTCTTTCTCACTCCTCTTTCTCCTCCCTCCTCCCCTATCAATCAGCTATCGAGTCCTGTTGATTCTACCTTTGTAACTTCTCTCCTAAATCCCCCCCCTCGTCTTCCATGGCCACCACTCTGGCATAGGCCCTTATCACTTCATGCCAGGATGATTTTGAAGTCGTTTTCTGGATGGTGTCTTTGCCTCAAGCCTCTCCCACTCCAGCCCACCCTTCAATCAGCTATCAAATTAATCCTCCTAAAACACAGCACAGGTCTAACCGTGCCGCTTCCCTATTCAGCTGACTCCACTGGCTCCCCATTACCTCCAGCATCAAATACAGAATCCTCCATCTGGCTTTTAAAGTCCTTCCTAGCCTGTCCCCGCCCCCCATTACCGGCTTACACACCTTCCATCTCACACGTACTCTGCGATCCAGTGGCACTGGCCTCCTCTCTGTTCCTTGAACAAGACCCTCCACCTCCCAACTCCAGACATTCCCACTGGCCGTCCTTCATGCTGGAACGTTCTCCTTCCTCATCTCCATCTCTAGGCTTCCTTCAAATCTCAGTTAAAATCCCATTTTCTGCAAGAAGTGTCTCCTGATCTCCTTTCACGCTGCTGGGCCTTCCGTCTGTTGATTATTTCTCACCTATTCTGTGTATGGTTTGTTGGACATAATTGCCTCCCCCTGAAGCTGATGGCCCCTTTCTCAGAAACATGTTTTTAAATTCACAAAATAAAGTATGAAGGATGACAAAGAAAACAAATGTCTTGATATAAATACAATTATCAAAATGTTTTTTAAAGTGAAGCTCGTGGACCAGTAGCAGGAAAAGTCATTGGGCTCAGGGGCTGTTCTGTTTTTGTTTCTGCAGCCCCGAAGTCTAGGACAGTGCTCTGCTCACCACAGGAGCTTAATAAATGCTCCTGAGTGAATTCATGAATGAGCTAATGCTCCTCCTGTTAATGCAAACAGAGGGTGGCTTTTGAGGGTCGTGCAGCAAGACAGTGCCAGAGCTGGGCTTGGCCCTGGGGGTCCTGCGTCCCACCAATCCTCTGATCTGTGTCCTGCATGCATCTGACATCTCCTCCCCCAGAGAGTGGAGCCCTTGCAAGCAGGGGGCGTATCTTACATTTCTCTGGCATTGCCACAATTTGAGCATGTGGAAGATGCTTAATAAACAGCCACTGAATGGATGCAGACTAAGGCTTACCCAGAACATCTTCTAGGCATCAGGAGGAGCCTGCCTCAACCCCTCCCCCCCCCGCCCCTGCCCCGCCCACATCTTCTTCCCAGGCCCTGACCACGATGGTTATTCTAATGGTACCTCGCCAATGGCTGTGATCTTGCTGAGGCAGCTCCTCATAGCCGTGCTATCTGCATTCCTAAGACTGTCCTCTTCCTTCAGAGCAGACAGATAGAGCAGGGCTTCCCTGCCACACTCTTTACAGGCATCCGTTAGCACTACGGATTCAAGGAAACACAGAGCCATTAGGAAGGGGTACTGCTTCCCCTGACCTTGAGCACAGGCCCAAGGCAGAGCTGGCACCGTGGGCCCTTCCCGGCCCAGCCCATGGTACTCACTCTCGGCAGGCTCCAAGGAGGTCGTCAGACAGGTGGCACTGCCCTGGAGGATGGTGTCACTGACCAGGTGAGCCAAGAGGGTCATGGATCGTGCCAGTCCACCGACATCTGGAAGGGAAGTCCAGTGGAATTCACCAAATCCCTTTCCTCCCTTGGACACCCTCAGAAGCCCCTGGGATGTGCCCAGGCTTTCCCTGGTGTCAGGATGAGTGCCCTGCCCACATCTCACCATCTGAAGAGGTCAGATACTGCTTCTGGGCCTCCTCCACTTGGTCGATGCATTTCAAAACACAATTGGTCTTAAAAAGGAGATGATCTGGAAGACAAAAGCCAGGGTAAGGAATCCTTGTAACCCGGTGCAGTGAGGCCGGTGACCTACACACCCCTTCACTCCCCAAACACCTAGAGTGGGGGAATGCCTCTTGGATGCCTTCAGAACTCTAGGACCTGGGACCCTGAAAGGCTCTAGAGCTATGAGCATAAACCCTTCATTTTACAGAGAAGGAAACTGAGGCCCACAGAGGTGAAGTGATCTTCCTGAGGCCACCTAGGTAGGAAATAGCTGAGGTGGAATCCGAACCCAGGTCTTTCCACTGTACCGCCCGCCCTCTCTGGTGCTGGCAGGGAAGAGTCAAACTGAGGAAAGGTTTTCTGGCCTGACTGGGGTGTATTCTCCTGCTGTAGCTTCATTAGGTTCCCTCTACTCACCCAAAACACAGATATTGCCTCCCTTCCTGCCGCACGCTGGGTAAAAGCCAAACTTCTTTGTGGAGCATCCCACGCTTGTCTGTTCTCACCCACCCCACGTCTGGGTAAAATCCTTTTGCTCAGCATCACAGACTTGGAGCTGCAAGGGGCCTCAGTCGAGGGCCACCCTCCACTCCACTCCACTTTACCATACCTAAGCAGCAGTCACCCAACCTCCATCTGGAGGCCTCTAAGGAGAGGGCCCTGCTGCCTCTCAAGGCGCCCCCTGCAAGCCGAGTGGCTTCTGGCCCCGCCCGCAGCTTCTTCATCCCCACCGGGGCTGGCCTTCGCCCAGGCCCATGGCTCCCACTCAAAACACTCTTCCTCTTCCTCTCCAGTAATAGTAGTAATAATAATAATAGTATTAATAACTGGCATCCACAGAACACTTCGAGGTTTGCAAAGCACTTTGAATGTGACCTCGTTTGGCCCTCTCTACAACCCTATGAGGTAGGCGCTATTATTATCCCCTTGTTACAGATACAGGAACTAAGATTAGGAGATAGGAGGCTTGCCCAGGGTCATTCAGCTAGTCGGTGTCTCAGGCCAGGGTCAAACTCAGGTCTTCCTGACTCCAAGGCCAGTGCCCTAGCCATCATTGCACTGGCTGATTTGGTAACCCATGTCTTTCACTCTCATTCAAATCCCACTCAAAATTCATTTTGGGGGGAAGCCATGCCCAAATGATTGTACCTGTTAACTTCCATGTTTTGCATTTTTATTTTAGTAACTACTTGGCTCATTTGTACATAAATTTGCATTCATGTTGTTTTTTCAAATATCTCTTTTTCGAAAGGCCTAAGATCCACTGCCTATTATAAAAGACAGAAAGTCCTCTGCCCACCATAGACATCCTTTGTCAACCTCACACCCCACTCTCCTCCTCACCATTCTCGAAATTCTTCTCTGTGACTCCCCAGGATGGGTCTTTACTCCAAGAGACTCCTTATGTTCCCCTCTCTGTTCCCTAATACCCTCTTCTCTCCTCTACAAAAAGTCATGCTCATCATCTCCTTTGAAAAGTGGCTCCTTTCTTCCAGGAAGCCTCCCTGGCCTAGCCACACCTGCCTTGAGGTCACACTATCACCTGGCACGGACACATCCACTCTGTGTGAATTCTGATCACACTCATCATGAAGAAACAAGAAAGGGGACCAGCCCTCCAACCTGAACCCTAGCTTCCTTCCTCTTCATTGGGGGTTCCTAGATAATCACACTCCTTTGTCTGGCTGGCTATGCTTGGGGCGTTCTGTTCTAGCTTGCCTGAGCTCCCTGTAGAGAAGGCCCAGTTTTCCCGCACAAGCTTCTCAGCAGTTGTGACTATATCTCTTTTGTTGGAATGGGCGCTCCCTGAGTACTGGAACGTCCTTGCAGAATGACCAGAGCAGGTGTGCTGTCACCAGGCCAATGGGATTTGGAGCTAACGGACGTATTGGAGGTTGGGGAGAGCCTGGTGACTGGGGAAGGAATGTACCTGCAGACCCAGTACAGCTGATGAGGATGGGGTCCTCAAGCTGGCTCAGGGCATCTTTCACCATCTTCTCAGCCTCTTGCCCTGTTTCCAGGAGAATTGACTTCCGCTGGTCCTTTGCGATTTGATGCATAGATTCCTGCCAGTGAATCAGAGAGGCTGTTGTGGACCCAGAGTGGGGGCGTGCCCAAAAGGAGAGCATCACAGCACTAAGGAATCGTAGCCCTAGAAATGGGAAGGACCTCAGAGGCTGAGCCCATCCCTTTATTTTACAGATAAGGGAAACTGAGGCCCAGAGCACCAGTGACAAGATTTTGCTCCAGAATCAATGTTTCTCCCCCTGGAGCACCAGTGTTTCCCTCTCCTTCGGTGCTATGCTGTCGACTGGGCTAGAAAGCTCAGTGCCAAGGAGACTGAGGTCATGGAGTTGGTCCCTGAATACTCGGGTTAGCTCCACCCAGAGGAAAAAAATCTCTGTTATGCAAAAGGCACAAACTTCATCCTTCATCCCAACCACAGATCTTTGCACCGCCAATCTCTAACCACTGCACACGTGTCTCACTGACGATGAGAAAGGCTGGGAGAGTGTACAGAGGAGGACGGTGACTACAACCTGTGCCCTCCTATGGTGGATGAACTCATAGCATGCCCATGCCCCGCATCAGACCTGGCATATGTAAGGTCATTCACGTGCGTTCAGGACAGGTATTTTTCTCATAGGCAGCTCTGGCAGGCCAGCTAAGATGGACCCACAGGAAAAGGCCCAGGGACCTTGCTGGAGCCTCAACTTTCTCCCTATCTCACTGCTCCCCTCAGGCGGAGCCAGATGCGCCTCTGAGCTGTGACATGGGCCCCGAGATCTGCCTTCCCTACTTGCCTGTGCACTGGTTAACTCAGACTGTGTTCGCTCCAGTTGGTTCCGAAGGGATGAGATTTCTTCATACCTCTCAGATGCGATTTTTGCCAGGCTGGTTCGCTCCTTCTCTAGGCCTTCAATCTGCATATTCCACTTTGCCTCTGACTGTAGGAGAAGCCATGTGGGAGAGGGAAAACAGAACGTTCACAGCTCACGTTTACATAATACTTTGATTTTTAAATCAATTAACTTTTTAGGTTTTTTTTTTAAACTTTTCTGTGATTTCATCGGTAAAGGAAAGCCCTACTTAGTCTTAGGGGAGTATGGCAGGGGGCACCCAGAGGGGCCTTCGGAGTCAGGACTCAGGCGTTGGCTTCTTCACTGAGAGACCTGCTCTTTATCCACTCCACCACCTCTCTACCTGCCCACAGAGTGCTCCGAGGCTCCCTAACAAAGATCCAGTGAGCTGTGTTGTACAAATACTGTTAACCCCATTTCATAAACCAGTAAACAGGCTCGGAGGAGTAAGGGTCTGAGGTGGGAAGGTTAAGCTATTCCCTCTTGTAGGACCCCAAACCCTCCTGGTCCCGGGCACAATTGGTTCTACTTCTTTTAACCTACTATTCCTATTTCCTGAGGGCAAACAGAAGGATAACCTGCTAAGGTAGCCCAGGGGTGTGTGAGTTGGTGGGCACAAAGCCATTTTGCCACAGAAAATCCATTCACTGGACAATGAGTGCATGGCCGGAAGGTCTTCCTTAGGGAACATTAGTTGGATTCTTCTGGGCACAACATCACTAATTCCAGCCTTTGGCGAGAAGAGGGTAGCAAGGGCAATGGTTTAGATCTTTCTGACCCTACTCCCTAGGAAAGGGGTTCACAATCACAGCCAACCTTGATACAGTGCTTTAAGTTATGCAGAGCACTTTTATTGGTGCCTAATGACAGCTCTGGAAGGAAGGCACTATCATTATCATTTTACAGATGAAAAACTGAGGCTGGGAGGTGAAAGGATTTACCTAGGGTCCCCCAGCCGGGATGGGTCAGAAGCAGGATTCAAACTCAGGTCTTCCTAACTCCATCCCCTCTGCCACCTGGCTGTGCCAGTATGCGAGGGAAAACTGATGCCCAGAGAGAAGTTTTTGGGCTGGATTCCTAATCTCATCGGGTGGGGAGCTTCTGGCAAGCACCCTCCTCTCCCAGTGTGGGTCAGTGGGTTCTCTGACATTTCAGAGTCTTTGAGAGAGGCTGGGGGGCACTGAGGGAGAGGTCCCCGCCAGGATGGCTCTGAGGCAATACTTGGCTCAAGTCTTCCCAACTCTGAGGTGAACTCTCAATCGACTACACTACTCCACCCTGGAGAGGAGGGATTTACAAACATTTTACCGTCCTCTTTTGTTTTTACCTCAGCCAACCTTCCCAGAGCTTCCCTCTTCTACCTCTTCCTGGAGAGCCATCTCTTGTAAAAAAAAATAATTAAAAACAGAAAAAACAGCTCGGCAGAGTTAACCAACACGACAAAAACTCCGATACGTGTAGTATTTCACACTCATAGGTTCCTCGAATCTCCCTCCCCATCACAAAATGGGAGGTGATATTTCCTGGGCTTGCCCCAACTACCTATCGGGGCCGAACTTGGGACGGGCTCTTTCTTTAACGCACAACCCTCGGGTCAACCGAGCTCAGCTGCAGCTGTGACAACATGGGTGGGTGGGGGAGCCGCCGTGGAAGACGGGGCTTCTGCCCCTGCAGCAGCGACGGCCCCAGTATCAGCAGGGAAAGGCAGGGAGAGGGCCAGGAAGGTGGAGGGAGGCCATGTTTACCTGGGCAGAGGTCTCCAGGGTGCCTTGGAGGACTTGGAATTCATGTTTGCTGATGGAAAGCTCTTGTTTTAACGTCTCTAGGACCTCCGTCTGTTCTTGAGCCTGTAGGGCACAGAAGAGGGTGCTGGAGTGAGTCATCCCAAAGTCCACCGTCTGCAGGGGGAGCCTGGGAGAATCTGGGATCCTTCCCAAGTATTCCGTGGCTGCAGGTGTGGAAGGAGCTGGGGACAGCAGCAAACTCCCTGCTGACTGCACCCCTGCTCTGTCTGGCCCCCGTCTTGAACGAGGGAATGTTCCAGGCCTCAGGTGTCTGCCTCATCCATGAGACCGCCAGTGCCACGTCCCTCTTGTCTGGTCTCTCCGGTGAGGCAGAGCCCCCCAGAGTCCACGAGCATGTGCATGGCTCTGGCTCCCAAGGCTCCCAAGGCTCCCAAGGCTCCCAAGGCTCCGGGGAGCTTGCTCTCAGCCTTGAACATTCTCTATCCCCCTTGGCCTTTGTCTTCCTCAAGTCATTGTGAGTGGGGAAGGTTTCATCCTTTTTCCTCGTATTCCCAGTGCCCTGGCACAGAGTGGGTCCTGAACAGTGATTGATTAATTGGTTCTTTGGCTCAGGTCCTTTCTTGCCCCAGGCCCTGAGACCCTCCTACTATTTCCCTACAGACTCCAGAGCCGATGGAGGTCCTGCCTACAAGGCATTGACCTGCACTTGTCTTGGTCACTGTCTGTGGTCTCTCAAAATTATAAGGATGAAGCATAACTGATTGGCCCACGGTGCCGTCCTCAGATGAGGGCCAAAGCAGAAGCGATGGCCTCTTCTGAGTCACCCAGGTCACCTGGGCTGCGCCTCTGGTCTCCCGGCTCCGTTCAGTCCAACAAACATTCATTCCTTACATATCACACGCTAAGCCTTGTGCGAGGCCCTGGAAGCGGGGCATGGACTCAGGAGAGGCCTTATGCACCACGGCGGGAGGACCCGCTGCAACCAGCCCCATTTCCTGCCTCCGCACACCCAAGGCCCCAGTGACCTTCCCAGAACCAACCCTCGGATGCTGAGAATTATCCTTCATCCGCTATCCACCGTTACCCCACGGCTGCCGAACTCCTACCGCCGGCTTCTCTCCCTGTCCCTGCATCCCTTAATCACTGGCCGCTCAGGAGCTGCCTAGCCTCACTCCCACCTCCCTGTCCCCTCCTCCTCATCCTTCCTGACCCCACTCCCACCTTGCCCCTAGTCCACCATTT